GTTGAACTTGATGAATCCATGATGAACGGTTTGAACTTTTCAGCAAGACAATTTTTTAGGCGTTTAAAATAAGACAATTTTGCACCTTTGATTCTCAATTCCTTGTTGATGTAGACATTGGAGGAATTTTAACAATCTATACATTCAAGGAAATGGATTTTCAGCTTCTACAGATTCTGACCAAAAAAAATATGCACGTCGGAAAAAATCATAAGAAGAAAAACTCACTGGCTTTTAGTTCTAGAATGTTTTATTCACTCATCCAACCGCCTTTCTTTACAAAAGAAAGGTTTGATATTTAAAATTCAAGTCAGGATGACAAAGATTTTATAAATAAAAGGAAAATGCTTGCCTTGCATATCTGAATATCGACTTTGCACATCTAGTAACATCTTGGTGTAATAAAGTGCACGATTCAGAACATATTACTCCGTATTTTACGAACTCTCGGACAAATTAACAACAACATGCATGACATACACAACAAAATTGAATTCTTAGGCATAACATGATACAATGGACCTTTGACCGATCGTTGTTAGAATTTTATGAAATGAAACAGAGTCCCAAATTTCCTAAGCTAAAAAGAAAAAGCCAAGAAATAGAGCGTTCATATAAAACTTAATTTCCAATTTTCAAACCCTCCTAACTATTCTAGCCCCAGGTTGCATCCAAGCATTTGCCTTATTTGATAGTGTATTATCCCCTGCTTAAAGAGCAGGGTTCGAATCCCTTCTCCCACAAATTATAAATTAAAAAAAAAACCTATTCTAGCCCCAGGTTTCCTTCCAGTGCCAATCACAGATGACTGGTTGCTGACAGCAAGAGGAGGTTTCTTATTCTTTTTGCTCATACTTCTAAGCAGGTACCTAGGAGTCTGAGTGTTGTTCCTCTCCACGGAATAAACAGCAGACACTGGCTTCCTCAAGCTCTCGAGCTTCTTCAAGGCTCTTTTCTTTGAAGATTCAACTGTAGAGACCTCAAAAGTAAAGCTGTCGTTAATTAATGTTTTTTATATGGTTAAACAAAATTACAAAAAACCGTAATCTAAGAGACAGGCGGCAAGCACATATGAACGGGCAGGGAAAGAGGCAGAATCTAGGGGCAGAGGATTTTAATTTTATTTGTTGTAATTGAGGGAAAGGGGGATTTGAACTCTATTCTTTAGGCATGGATCATGCATTAACCAATCAGACAAATATTCAGATGCAGGACAAATGGTTTCTATCTTAATTTTATCCTTAAAAAGTGGAACTCTAACATTTAAAAGAGAGATCAATACAATTTCTGAAAGGTTTATTATAAGAAACCCCCAACATCTACAGACCTTAATTTCAGTCTCATGTGCTAATTTTCCATTGTAGATGTTCTCATGGAATATGCCAAGACAAGGCTCTCCATCTTTCACTACGACCTAAGCCGGGCAGTGGGACAAACCTTCTTTAATTTGTTAGTAGTGAAATATAATTCCGTTTTTCTTGGCTACGTTAAAAGAAAAGAAATTAAAGGATCAAAATTAAAGATTTCAATTAATTCATCATATTATATATCATCCAAGACTCTTTGAAGGGGGTGAGGATTTCAAATATTTACCCAATATTCCAAAAACTTGAGCTAGAGAAAACATTCAGCATGCGTGTAGTCACGTGTCTTTCGTTGAATTCAATTTTCTACAAGAAAAATCAAGAGTTTTAACATTGAAAGAAGAACAAAATAAAAGATATATAATTAATAGCACAACTTGATTTTGTGAAGGAGATGTTCAGCAAACCAAAAAGACTTTCAACTATCACGTGCCTTTTCAATATATATGTTAGAACAAAATTTGTTTCCGACATCCAACATGTCATAAGGTGATTTCCCTCGAGGCCAATTGAGACAATTCAATAAAATATTATCTCAAATTATGTTGATTTTTTTATATGATTATTTATTAATTTCTTCCACAATTCTACTGGGACGAGTGTTATGAGTTATTTGATTATAAAAAGTTTCCCTTGCTACCCATACAACATAGTTACATTCATTTTATTTTTTTCCTTTCTTTTTTTTTTTGGTTATTGGAAATTTCCCTAAGAGTTACGTAAATTTACACATCAAGATCAAAGATAAGGGAGCACCAAAGTCAAGACCAAATTAATGATGTAAATATGACTCTCTAGCTCTGGCCCATTTGAAGTGCTATAAGTATGGGGTGAAGAAGTCAATCCAGGAAAGTCAAAGGAAATAAGAGTTCACAAAAGGCGAAATCCATCCGTTCCAAGGTTAATCAGAAGGTGAGGGCTATTCTTTGGTCAGCGAGCAATCCGTCAACAAGACTCGAATGACTTTTATTGATAGCGACAAATTTTGCCAATGACTTTTGTTGCTAGCTGACGACTGTTATCGAAAATCTTTCCATCTATTCTTTCCCCTTTTTCCACAGAATAAACTTTTCTGCAGACCCGTTAAAAGTAGAATATTATTTCATAAAAGAAGAATATGTAATTACGCTGTAAGCACCTTTGGCTTCACCCTCAATCTTTTTCAATTTCTGCATGATATTTTTTCTTCTGGGATCAAATGTGAACTTTGGAAAAATTCAAAATAGGATAAACGACAAAGCTTTTGTAATTTTGGGTTATATGTGAAAAGGTCTATCTTGTCTCAAACCAAACTTGATAAAACTTATGATTATGACGATCAACTTTGTCCTTTTGTGTTTGAAATTGTAGTTTTATAGATCGCAACTTCGAAGAAAAGTAACTACGAGAGATAAATTCAATGGTAGCCGCAAGTTGTTTTTGTTGAATGTAACCTTAATTTAATTAATCAATGTAAATTTAAACAGAATTGAGTTATATATATATATATATATTTGCCTCTTTAATTGAAACTTTTATGTGTAAATTATGCAAATATTAAAGATAATGGTTTTATATATTTTGTTCGGACTATTTAATCAGTATATATTTTTTTTATCATTTCAAAATTATTAAATTGACTTGAAACAATATATAATAAAATTTTTTTTACATTTGAGTATTTGATTTATTTATTGGTGCATAATTTAGAATTTGAATCTCCTTTCTCTTAATTATAAATATATATATAAAATAAAAAATTTATCTTTATTATATTATTATTTTGCATATATTGGTAAAGGATTAATATGTTGGAAAAGTGGGAACTAGTAGGTTGAATGAAATGTTTCTTTTATAAATTGATTGGTAAGAGAAATATATATGAGAACACCCTTTTGTCTAGAGTGCGTTGAATTCAACAATGAACAGCAACAAAAGATATGAAGCCTTTTTCTATTTTGTCGGCATTTGCTTGGCAGAAAATTCCTTTTTAATGTTATGAAATTTCAAACTTTATGAATTTCAGCTCAATGTTACTTTCTTTTTTATTTCTTCTATCTTTGACTTTCTATGACAAATATTTTATATTAAAATTAATTTTAATGATCTTATAAAATCTTGATTTCAAATGAGTGGAAGAAGAACAAGAAAAGGAAAGTGTCTCTTTTTCCTTGGCAAAAACAACGGTCAAAACAGAGAAGCACAAGTATAAATCAAAGAGGATATGATATGATTAATTTGATCCCTCTCTATTATTATTATTATTGTTATGTTTTAAATCTTGTTTGATGCACATGTACTACATGCAAATAAGTTAAACTTTTATAATGCCATGCAATTCAAGTTTAAAATTTCAACTTGATTGAGTATATAATTACTACTATAAAAAAAAATTGACAAATTTTGAGCGGTAGATTGGTCTTTTGCAATTGTAAAGGTCTTTCTTCGCCCTAGCAAGTGTTTATGCCATAGAACTGTCAAATGGTCAAAGAAATCCTCTAGCATCGAGTTAAAGAGGCTAATAAATATACTTTTCAATATATATAAATATATATGTACATATATATATGTACATATATATGTGTACACATATATGTGTGTGTATATATATATATATATATATATATATATATATATATGCACTATGGTAGAAAGAAGCTGGTGGCAGAAGTTGAAACTTAGATGGCATTTCGAAGGTGACAGAAATACTAGGTTCTTCCATAATATAGCCTCGACAAGGAGGAGGAGCAACTCCATTAGTAAATTGGATATTGGGGGAAAAATGGTTGAAGACCTTGAGGACCTTAAATCTGAAATTGCAAAGCACTTTCAGAAAGTTTACAAAAAAGGGAGAGAAACACCATTGCATGAACGGGTTGAGTGTTTTAGAAAACTGAAGAGGAGTTCTGCTAAACACTTTGAAAAGCCATTCACGGAACAAGAAGTTTGGCCAATGATCTTGAGTTGTGAGGGTAGTAAAGCCCCTAACCCTGATGGTTATAGTCTTGGTTATTTTAAGAGATAATGGTGCAACTTAAAGGAAGGACTTGTGAAGTTTATGGATGAATTATACAATTCAATGACTTGGGATGCAAGGTTAACTCTTCCTTTATAACACTAGTACTTAAGACTAGTAGCCCTACCTCAATCAATGATTACTGGCCCATAAGCGTTGTTAGCAGTCTCTATAAAATCATTGTCAAGACTTTTGTCAATTGGCTTAAAACGATTATTAGAGAAGTGATAAGCAATAATTAATTTGCTTTAATTGAGGGGAAGCAACTTGTTGACTGTCACCTGATTGCCAATGAAAGTGATTGACTACCTTAGAAAGGAAGGAAGTAATGGATTGTAGTTTAAAGTTGACTTCGAGAAGGCATACAACAATGTGGAATGGTTTCTTTTGGACATGATCTTAGAGAAGATGGGGTTTGGGGAAAGGCAGAGACAATGGTTAAAGTGTGTTTGTCTATTGCTTTTATTTCTGTGTTAGTGAATGGCTCCCATACGAATTAACTTAAAATGAAGAATGGTCTTCACTAAGGATGTCCGATGTCTCTTTTTCTTTTCAATTGCATTGCGGAACCCTTTAGTGTTATGATGAAAAAGGCTACTAGACTAGGGCTTTGCCAAGTGGTTGAAGTTGGAGAAAGAAAAGTTGTTGTCTCCTACTTATAGTTTGCTGATGATATAGTAATCTTATGCAGGTCCTCTTTAATTAGTTTATTAAATGCTAAACAAGTGCTAAGGGTTTCCAAGTTGTTCCCAGACTCAAGATCAACTTCAATAAAAAGAGTTTGTATGGGATAGGTCTTGATCATGAAATTGACGATGGATGGGCTAGTAGGATTGCAAGCTGAAAAGCTTGCAACGACGTTTCTGGGCTTATCACTTGGTGCAACCATGAATTCAATCAAAATGTGGAGGCTTATTGTGAATAAATTTAAGGCTAGGTTGTCTACATGGAAGGAAAGATCTCTCATGTTTGGTGGCAGATTGACTTTATAAAGGTTAGTTTTTTGCAACTTGCTTGTTTTTGTTAATGTCATTGTTTTAAATACCGGCTAGAGTAAAGGAAGCCTTGTACAAAATTCAAAGACATTTCTTATGGCGAGGCACTGTTGAAAGAAAAAGAATTCATTATGTTAATTGGGAGTCAGTGTAGTCATACTGAGATTTAGGGGGGTTATTAGCACTGTGGATCTCCATGTCAAGAATATAGAGTTCTTAAACAAGTGGCTATGGGATATAGTAATGAATAAGGGAGTTTGTCGACAGAATTACTGGCTAAGAAAAAAAGAATGTGATTTAAAAACTTTACTGCCATTTCAGGGAAATGCACGAAAAATATCTAACTTCTGAAGGAATATTATGAAACCAATTACGGACAGCTCCGCTTTGAGTAGAATCACTTCAAAAGGTATGTGTTATATGGTGGTGAGCAGCAAGTATATTAATTTCTGAAAGGATCAGTGGATACTAGGAGTCTTGTTTTATGTTCGTTTTTCTAGAATTTTCACTTTGGCCATTACCAAAGTGGGTAAGATAGCGAAATTTTGTAAATGGGTGGATAATTAATGGGTGTGGAGTGTTAGTTTGAGAAGAAGAGTCTTTGGCTGGGAAGAGCAGCAATGGCAAGGATTCTTGAATCTGTTATCTCGGCAGCAAGTTTTAACAGTTCAAAGATAAGCTCGTTTGAAGCAGAAATATGAGTGATAATAATACCACTAAATCTTTTTGCTATGTGGTCCTAATGCAAAACAACATTAGTTTCAATGTGTGGAAGGAGTTGTGGGAAGGATTGGCTCCCTATAAAGTGGAATGCTTCTACTGACAATTATTGAAAGGGAGACTAATGGTGCGTTAAGAACTTACGATCAGAGGCATCATTAACTAGAACAATGCTTACTGCTTGCTGTGTAGATCAAGTATGGAGTCTATTAACCACTTATTTTTCTCATGCTTTGAGACTTAGAAATTGGGGTATTGGTGCTGTGGATTCTGGAACGTTAAATGGGTTGTGGAAGAATGAGATTTGACTTGAAGAACTAGATTCAATTATTCTCAATCGTTTTTTAATTTATTAGTTAATATTAATTTATTTTCTCTTTTACAGTTATTGTTATGTTGAGTCAGTTATTGTCATGTTGGGTAATGGGTTTGTATTGTGAAATATGTGGTTATGTAAGATATGGATATTGCACAGTTATTTTCCTTTACGTGTTATTTTATTGTATTTTTTTTCTATCATGTAAATGTATTTATAAGTGTTATTGTTGAATGAAAAGACTGTAAAGAGACTTTGTATTCAATTATATTTTCTCTCTCATTTTATCTTTCTTTGGTTCTTTAATTTTATCCTTTTTCATTTTAGCAGATTATAGTCTGCAAATAAAAAAAAACTTTTGAAAAACAAAACATGGTATCGAGCTCCAAAAAAGATCGTAAGGGACAAAGAAAGAAATCGATAATTTTTTCTGTAAATCTCCATTCTCAAGCTTCTTAAAATAATTATGGCTTCCTCAAGTTTTAATGCCGTTACTCTATCTATGTTTATAGGAAAAAATTATGACATCTGAACTGTTAAGATAAAGGCGTATCTTAGAGTTTTCGATTTATGGTAGGTTGTGGAGGTGGAAAATGAGCAACCAGAATAAAGACCTAACCTCACAGCGGCATAGATGAAGCAATAAAATGAGGAAGTGTCAAAAAGATTTAAAGCTCTCTCTATCATCTATTCGACTATGTTAGATACTATTTTAACAAGAATAATGACTTGTGAATCGCCTAAGGATGCTTGGGATTGCTTGAAGGAGGAGGCCCATGGCAATGAGAGGACTCGTCAAATGGAAGTCTTGAATCTACACAAAGAATTTGAGATTTTACAGATGAAAGATGATGAGAGTATCAATGAATACTTAGATAAGATTATGAAGCTAGTGAACCAGCTTAGACTCCCTGATGAGAAGTTGTCAAATTGTAGGATCGTTAACAAAATTTTGGTGAATTTACCAGATACCGTGGAGACTGAGAAGCACAATCATGAAGATTGAAAGATTCAAATCTAAGATAGGGAGTTACATCGTGAGGAAAGTGCCACGATCTGTAAATTCAGTGACAGATAATCTTGCAAAAAATGGTATAGGTAGGCACAGTGATCTGATGTGGGTTATTGGAGATGATGTTTTTGTTGATAGTGAAGGAGGTGATTAGCTTTATCTCATACCAAGTGTGTGCTGCTAATCTTTTGATATTAAGAGAAAGCCATCTAGGCTAATCTCTTTTTTTGTACTCCATAAATACTCATGAGATCAATGCAAATAGCCTACTTTTCAAATATATATATATATATATATATATTTTCGACGAAATCATAAAGTTACTTAATCAACTTAAAAAGGTTTAAGATTTGCTTGGGGTGTTAAAAGGACAAAGAGTTCTTGGTTTTATTATTCTTGGTTCTGGAAACCTCTATTGGATCGTTGAGCTCCAATAGAAAAGGAGAGTTTCTCCTTTGGCGCAAGCTTAATATAACAATTCATGTAATAACTTTTAAATTAGTTTAAATTTTTGTTCTTTTTTGAAAAGAAAAGTCCAAACAATATCGATACACACATGAATCCTACATTCGTATGTTCAAACACATCATTTAATATAATTGAACACTTGGCTTGAAGATAAAAATATATAAGTACTTTGTTTAAAAAGTTAAGTTTGAATTCTGTGCTTTTAATTAACTCTATTATTGACATAAATCTCAATTAAAGATCAAAATTGAAGATAAGAATCAATCCTTTAACCAAATCATCAATAAGAATAATGACAAAGACAAGTGAAAATATCTATCTGGCTAGGCCAAATCTCCCTCGATCTTATGACGATTGATTAAGTGAATCCAAATGGTCACTTTGAATTAAACACAATAATTGACATATCATTCACCACCATTAATGGAGATATCTAGAAAGGGTCCCATATTTAACCAAGTCATTGCCGGTGGAGTTGTTGCCCTTGGGACACGGATTTGGCGAAAGACGGGTCTTTGGTTTTATGCTTTTCAGTTTTATACGTATACAATCAATAACTTCGAAAATTTATTAACTTTATTAAATATATTTAAATGAACATGTGATAATGTTAATATGACGTCAACACGACGTTAATGTCAATTTTATTTTTTAAATTTTTAACATTTCTCTGTTGGTTTGATTTTGATACATTTTGAAAAGGTCAAGAACAAAAAATATCAATTTTTCTCCCGTCATAGAGTGTAATCTATCCTTGACTGTAAAGAACTGGACGATGTTTATTACTTATCTTACACTTTGTCCTGATAAGCACAGGAAATAATTGATGCTGATATTATTATTTATTTGCAAACTATGCCAAAATATCTACTGGGACACAATGTCGGAGAATAAATATAGGAAAAATTAACAATACTCTTAGAAAATATACCACATATCTTGCTACTTGGTTATTCATTAAACAGACATTAATTGCATTAGAGAGGAGCTTTCCTTCAGGTTTGATAGAGATCTGGTAACAAGTTTCACACTACATCGTGAATTTTACAGTAAACATTGGACAATAAACGTTCAGTATACGTACTCTCTTCATGTCTTGAGATTGAGATTTGGGTTCGTAACGTCACATTTGAGTCCATAGAAAGAAGAACGAGGCGGTTGAAGAATTTGAGATTGAGTGTATAAAGCACCCACCTATTTATTGGAAAACACCAAAAAGTATCAAACGACGTGCTAAAATTGAGAACAGATTCATGGCGACTAAGTTTTCTCAAATTTCAGTCATGCGGAATTAATTTTTGCAAAATCAAGGGACTTCTTGCCGTCGTGTGCATTTCCAAAAAAATTGTTCATGTAATCAGCAAGCACAAAGTCTCTATAAAGAGCAATTCCATCTTTCTCTACCACTTGAGGCAACGGTGCAATCTTTTCTGTTGGTTTTGGAATTGTAAATATTGGTATTGACACTCTTGATTTTGTACTTGTGGTACGAACTCTGTGCTCTGCACTTTTGTACTTTCCATTGCTTAGTACCTGCAGATGAAAGGCATGTTAAAAATGATAATTAGGTTTAAAGCTTGGGATTGTTTGAATATTCTACTTGTTTCAAATGACTAATTTTTCATTGAAGCAAAAAGGTTTCAAACTCTCGTTGATGAATTTGATAGGTACCTGCAACATATCGCCAACATTGATGACCAAAGCACCAGGGGTAGGAGGGATCTCTATCCACTCTCCTTTCTTTCCAAAATCTATATCTTCTTCAATTTTCACATATAAACCACCAATTCCATCCTGTAATAAGACCGTAAGAGTACCCATATCGGAGTGACGTCCTACTCCTACTGTGAGATCTGGATTAGGACATGTTGGATAGAAGTTCATATTAATCATCTTCTTATCAATGAGTGCATCGATCTTTGAGTCTTCTGGTTTCACCCCTAGATTTATCATCAAAACTTCAAGCAATTTTCTCACCATGCCGATTGATGTCCTCAGGTATTCAAGTGCTACTTCCCTAGAAAATAAAAAACATGTAAAAGAATTGAAGGTGCACAAACAAAACATGCATAAAAACCACTTTTATATCTCACCTGCACTCAATAGGCCAATGTTCTAGAGCTTCGGCTTCACTGGTGTATTGCATGCTGATATAATCTTTCCATTCTAATGCTCGCTCTTTCTCTGGCACGAAGCTCGTTCCGTACTTCACTAACGGGGTAGGACTCACTTCTGTGCGATAAATGGCCTTCCTTTCAGGGGGCAGGCTGAAGAAATTATGCGCGGTGTCCTTAAGGGACTCTAGTAGTTCAACAGGCACTCCATGGTTCACAACTTGGAAGAAGCCCAGAGTCTCAGCTGCTCTAACAATTTCCCTGGCCACTTCATCATGATCAGGGCCACCTAGCCTCGACAAATCAATCGGTGGCTGCTCCTGTTTGCTAGCGTTTTGCTTGTCTATTCTCTCTTTTGGTGGTTGCATGTAAGCTTGTGGCACCTTCGATAGGCCTAAGTCCACCATTCCTTTGACACCATTTCCATCTCGGACGACAAAGTTGAAAAGCGAGCTTCTATCATCAAAGCTAGGAGCCATTGGTGAGTAGACAAGGCTGTACTTGTTGAGTGTAAAAGAGGGTTTCTTTGATGAAAGCTGATGGGTGAATTCACCAAAAGAGAAGGGCGCAATATAAATAGCAGGGAAACCGTTGACGTTTCTTGATGATCTTAATTAATAATTACATGGTGATGACGTTTTGAGGAATTGATCTGAAATTTTCAGCAAGACAAGAAGCAGGGCGCTTGAGCAAGGGAAGGCAAAATTTTTGCCTTTTGACTCTTTGTTACGCAACTATTACGAGAGATTGAACAACAGTTTAAAATCAAGGAATGGGATTTTCAGCGACCCCAATCTAGAATGGCGACAATAAATATAATATATATTCACCAACCCCTGTAACTCGAGATCTTCAAGCCATAGAGAGTTAATATGCAATATGAATACAAGGACCTCAAAGTCAACATCCACTTGCATGCAACAGCATGAGCAGAGTTATTTTCCTGCCAATATAAGTACCTAATACTCTTTTAGCTAGGCTCAAACATTCTTTTTTATTTTACCTATTTATGATTTAATATGTTTTTAAAATACAAAGTTAGTCTAATAATTTATTTGCATTAAGATAATGTATTTTATACTATCAATTGTGTTTATAATGCTCATATTTAAGCATTAAAAAAAGTAGTAAAAAGAAGTTCATATGAAAGTAAAGGAAATATAATAAAGGTAAGAATTTATAGGTGAAGCGATCAAAAGGATAGGAAAAAAATTGAAGGTAAGAAATTAAGCATAAACGCTTCCTTTTTCTTCCCCACCTAGCTTTACATAGCAAGTAAATATATATATATATATATATATATATTTACTTTATAAAGACCATGTATAAAATATAAAAATAATGTATGTTTCAAGAGATGCGGGTTTTTTTTTTTATTTTCTCAATCAAAAGGAATTTTATTATGTATCATAGATATAAAACTGATCATAAGAATATCAGTGAGGATAGCAAGGAATATAGCCTTGTCCAATGTCTTATCACCCTATTATCTCACACAGAAACTCAGAAAGGGAATGAATTAAAACAGCCAACCACCACCCCTTAACAACTCCTACCACCGTAACAGGAATGGTGAAGCTACATCAATGCAAAACCAAGGGAGGGCTGCGTCTAAACCTGGCCATCTGGCCTTCTGTTGTGGGCTGAATGGCGCTGCTGGAGCTGATTTTTTTGAGTGTAAGGATTAGAAAGAAAAGGAAACAGGCTTACTGGTCTTGTTTCTCTTGCTTACTTGTTCTGTACTGGTTGGTAAATTTTTGGGTGATATTGGGATGTATAGCTGAGAATGAATGGCTAATGATGTGAATTTTGTATAGTGATAGGCTGATTCCACTGGCTATTTTTTTTTTTTTGTAATCCAGGTTGATAACAGAGTGCCAAGACTGACTTAGGATACTCTGTTAGTACGTTTCCAATTGTAAAGGGTTATACCTGTTCAGCTAATGAAATGAATATAATTTTCAAAAATTAAAAAAAAAAAACCAAAAAGTTTCAGAAAACCAACCCTCATCCAGAATACAATCACAAACAAACTCATAAGCTACCATCAATTATAAACAATATCCTAGTCCATACACCTCCACTACCGTCCACTTTTCAAACACCTTAAGCCAAAAGCTTCAACTACTCCACAAAATCTTCCCTCTCTCTTTGTCTCTCTTAAAAAAAGAAAAATAGAAATATCAATGGAAACCATCAGATAGCTACAGGCAAGCTCCCAACAATACAAAAGAGATGTGGGTTCTTGTTCTACTTTTTACTACATTTTGTTACGAAGTATTTGATTACTTCAAGTGATTACATATATTGGCAATCTCCATTTCTTTTCAAAGATTTCAATACAAAAGTGGACGAAACCTGCATAAGAGAAAGTGAACTCTGCACAGGCGGTAATATTTAGGCTTGAAGTTCCCATATTTGGAAGTATATTAAAATTTTATTTTTTTTATATGAAAAACTTTTAAATTCGACCCTTTAAAATACTTACTATTAAATTAAATATTCAGATATAAAAACTTAAATACTTTCACTCAAATATTTTTTTTCTTGACCAAATAGATTAATTTAAATATATATTAGAAAATTGATATAAAGTCAAATCTATACCAAAATTAGACTATTTGAATACTTTTATAAAACAAAATAAAATAAAATAAAATCATTTAACATAGAATCAGCCACCATACTAAATAAAAACCAACAACATCAACAGGAAATTCAAGATAAAAGAGCAGTAAAAACAATTTGGTATCAACAGCCAGCCATCCCAAGGAAACCATCACTCAAATATATAAATCAAAGTTGGGACACAGCATGTTGCACGTCTGTGATGCATATTGTATTAAAAGATTGAATTCTTAAGTATAATAATATCTAAAATGAAATTCTTGACGTTATCATCCTTTGAATTTTACATTCAAAAGCTACGATTGATGTAGACACGTACGACGCCGGGAGATGGAAGCCGCTCACTGTTCACTGTTCAGGTCATTTTTATCAATTTAATTTTCTTTATTGATTTGGTTAAGATGGAAGCAGCCACCCTCTTCTTTTTGTTTGGTAGTGATGGTGTAATTGTACATGGTCTTTATCCAAGTCGGGCGTTAATATCATAAGAATTTTTGGCCAATCGGACGAGAGATTTGACATGACATTTCGATATTGAAATTCAATAAAATTATTTACTTTAAAAAATAATATATTTAATTTTATATTCGAAATAATCATATATTAATTTTAATAAAATTTATTTTTCATTTTTGTTATATATAACTATAATTTATTGTATGCTTTCCTTATTTTATATATATAACTATGACTCACCTACCCATTTTTACAGTCAACAAGATTTGGTACCTCTACCACACCTTATTAATGAAAGGAATTCCTAATGTTTACAAGCTAGTAGATATGATTGCTTTCTGTGTCAAAAAAAGAAAAGGAGAAATGTAAAGATTTCCAAAGACAATGTGACAAACCTTGTCGGGTTGTTGCTGTTGCCTGGTTTTTGTGCGGAGCTTTTAGATATCTTTTCCCCGGAAGTCGCGGGTGCCAACAAGCAAAAGTCAAAAGCTTAAGGGCTCTTTGCCCTTTACAGTAAAAAGAAAGGGCAAGTCATATACAGTAGGTTATTAGCCTATTAACCAATTAGATTTTACTTTGACTCATTCTGAGGCATAGCTCGTGATAGTCAGATTTTATTCATATTACAGTAAAGTTATTGCGGTGAGATTGACTAAGTGTTATTATAAAAATGACTATGGCATTAATGGCATTAATTAAGTTGAATTTTTGTCTATGATCACGGAGTACGGTTTTGCTGAATGGCCCTTTGATCAATTCAAGGATGATGACAGGTTCGTTTCTTGTGTGGATTGTTCTGCTGGTATAGTGGTACTGGTCTAAGATTGTACGAGGGATCAGTGATGGAAGGCAGAGGACTGATTGCTCCAGCGGACAGGAAAAGGCCTTTTAGGTTGGTATGACAATGAAGTTTGGCGTTGTGACGATGGGACAGAATGGAAGTTTGGTACAGCTACGGAGGCTCAAAGTGGCGGGACTCGGTCCACCATGACAAATGGAGGACCTCACTTGAAGATAGGGGCTTCCAGGACATTGAACCTTTAATTAGCTGGCGTCAAGATGCGAAGTACTTATCAGTTGACTTTAACAAAGATAGAAGCTTTTGTATAGTTGTACGTTTAGAATGCTTACGAGCAAGGGATGTTTTTGTGTTTGTTGAATAACTGGAAATATGAAGAACAGGGATGAAAGAAAACCAGAGAAAAAATGAAAGAGAAAGCTTAGATTTTTTACCAAACTGTGTGCTCACACTTCATTTACTCAATAACCAACTATATATACATGACAGAAGAAAGAGAAACAAAGGTGAAAGGAACCAGTTGGCTAAACCACCACTTGACATTCCAACATTCTAGGTGCTTTGGGAATTGTGAGATATTCCCTAACACCAGACATTCCCTCAACTACCCAAAACGTAGTTTTGGGAGAAATACAATAAAACCCGAATCCTCACATTCGGGGAAAAGTAAATAACCACAACAATTAGTCAAAGGACAAGTAAAAGTCAAACAACTAAAGACACCAAAACGACATAAGCAAAGGAATAAAATGGTAGCTAAAATCTTCTTCCATTTGAACTTCTTGCGAATCTTAACCTGTGCTACTGCAAAATAGAGCACCAAATCTCAACACACCTCCTTGGTGTTCATTTTGCAGACTGCCAACAAAGCTCTCAGTGCAAGAAACTTAACTTTATTCAAACACTTAGTGAAAACATAAGCTACCTGATCATTAGTTTCACAGTGAACAATAGCAATTTCATCATCTTTTACTCCATCTCTAATAAAATGAAATTTCACCTTAATGTGCTTTGTCCTTCCATGATGAACTGAATTTTTAGCAATGAAAATAGCAGATCGGTTATCAATCATTAATGAAATTCCTGTCTTCTACTGATAACCCAAATCTCCCAAAATCTTCTTGATCCATATAGCTTGGTATGCAGTAGCTGCAGTTGAGATATACTTTGTTTCAGTTAAAGATTGAGCAACCAGCTTCTGTTTCTTAGAGTTCCAAAAGAAGATTGCACTGTAGAAGGAGAAGTAGTAACCTTTAGTACTCCTTGAATCATCTAAGCTTCCAGCCCCATCACTATCACAATAGCCAATCAAATCTCTACTAACCACCTTTTCAAACTTTAGACCATAATTGATTGTTCCTTTAATGTATCTTAAGACTCTCTTAGCAGTAGAAAAATGAATTTGGGATGGTTTCTGCTTAAACCTGGACAGTAGGCTAGCTAGATACATCAAATCAGGTCTTAAAGTAGTTTAATATAATAAACCACCAATAATACTTCTGTAGTTAGAAGTAGCAGTCTTAGGAGCTCCATCATCCTTACTTAACTTGCAATTGGTAGCAAAGAGGAGTCTCATTGCTGTTCTCCATATGAAACCTTTTTAACAACTCAGTAGCATATTTGCCTTGATGAATACAAATAAACTCAGAGTGTTGTATGAATTACATACTTAGAAAATGGTGCATTTCACCCAAGTTGGTCATTTCAAATTATGCCATCAGCTTACTCTTGCTTTTTTGCCATAGTGGTATCATTTAAACTAGTTATCTATAGAGATCATCAACATATAAGGAGATTATTACTAAAACTATTTCAACTGACTTGTACACATACTAAGTGGGTTCATTTGGCGTTTTGAAGAAACCTTTGACAATAAGAAATGCATCTATAGAATCATACCAAGCTCTTGGAACCTGCTTTAATCTATACAAAGCTTTCACAAGTTTGCATACCTTTCCTTCATTATGTGGTTTGATGAAGCCTTTAGGCTAATAGATATATATATATATATATATATCATCAGACAGATAACTATTTAAAAAAGCCGATTTAACACAAGATGAAGGATTTTACATCCTTCTCGAGTAGCTAAGGTAGAAAACAGTCTTATGGTATCGTGTTTTGCTATTGGAGCAAAGGTCTCACAATAGTCAATTCCATAAATTTGTGAGTATCCTTTCACTACTAGTCTAGCTTTAAGCTTGTTGACAATAACATCTGCATTGAGCTTGGTTTCGTAGATCCACTTGACACCTATGATGTG